CTACTAGGTGTATTTGAGTGATATTTGAGACATTGTTATAGCCAAGTTATAGCGTATTGTTCTTGTCACTAATTAGCCTTTCTAGTGGTAAAACGATTTTGATGGTTTATATTTCAATTCGTTTACCGCTGCACCCTTCGTTTCATATGGAAAGATGAGCGAAAGCGATTTATCGTCTAGCCTACTTGAATCGACTTAAACGGGGCACAAATGAATAGAACTTCTTAATAGTCCTCGAATCCTTGAACCCATATAAAGATGAAACAAGAAACAAGTGTTGGCGAGGAATCATTGGTCCGTCATTCGGGATTACATGGACATACGCCCATTACATACCATGAAATTTCATAGTTTCGATGAGAATGACTTTTCAGTCGTAAAAATTCTACATCTTAAAAAATAAGAGGATGATTTATAATTGTAAAAATTAGCTGGTAATTTAGCATTAAGTCAATAAACAGACCTAATTACGAATTGCCTTTAACTGATAGAGGAAGGATGGAGGGTTAATGAGTAAAGGAGCTCACCTAGGTCAGCCTTATTTGAGTTCAATAGTCACACTATTCCGAGCATAGTTCAGGTATCTCTGACATATATACATATACTGTGGCATTTTAAACTAACCAAAAACCTCTAAATTACAACTTTTTATTTAAATAGATGTTTTCTGTTTGGCTTTAATCACCATTACTTCTTCTCATGCCTGCAAGAGATACAAATAGTCCATTAACCGAAACATTCAATACCTCCTTACGACCACAATCCAGGTAATGCAGTGATTTCAGTATTGATTTAGCCAGTCTTATCTGTCTTTGTGAGTTTTGTTTAAGATTGGTTTCGCTCTCTGATCACGCCTGTCACATGATAGACAAAATCTCAGTACGGATTTTGTCACTATTTTATCTAATTTGATGCTGTTTTGCAGCGCCACTTTATTTTTTATGCATTATTTCCCTAACAAGGTATTCATTGATAGTATACAATATTTTAGTATGATACTATGCTATATTAAGTCATTTAAAATGGCATGGTACTTTAGTACGCCATGTCATCATCGTATATGACTTTCGTAATGGTGCTTGAAATTCTACATAACGCGGTATCTGAGACTAATTTCCAATTATTGTCGCAAAGCCCTATTCGTAATCTAGACTTGAAAGAAATGAGGGAAATTAAGCTCATTTTCTGCTTCTATATTTTTTGTGGGCTCTTTAGACTTAAAAGAATAATTTGGTACTTTATGACGGTCAGCTCCAGGTGTGATTGCAAACTTCTGTTTCCATGTAGGATGAAAAACCAGGTTATTGGTTTTAATGGTTTCAGAAGAAATTAAGCAGCTTAAAAATGAGACTATATTAAAATAATTCCCTTACCTCGTCCTCTGTAGAGGGCAATTTGAGATAAACAAAGATTAGCGCAAAATGTCGGCCAATTAGTGTGTTGAAGTGATATTATCATAAATCGGTGTATGGCTAACGGATGTCTCTTCTGGCCCGTTGAGAGAAGCGTTATTTTTTACAGCGTTCTACGCAAAAGCATAGCGAGCTGTAGAGGAAACATGCTCCACAAGTTGTGCGGTGGAAGCTAGTAAGACCTTGGCGAGAAGGGACATGGATTGGATCCCTATTTTAGACTGCATGCAATAGAGAAACTCAAGGTTGTAATCAAGTCCTCCCTCCTTTTCACTTACTGTGTGAGCACAATTTTACTCATAATCATGGCCTGTTTTAGAGATGTCTGTTGCTTAACGAACTAAGGCTCAATACTGCCTGATCGACACAGAAGAAGGGTGACTTAACTTTCGGGAAAAATTTTGTTCTTTTTTTTCCATACTGCTTACACAATGGTGAGAAGGTATTTCGCTTCAATAGCCTTTGGCTTTTCCTCTGAACCTCCAGGGGAGTAGGGGAGTTCAGAAATGAGAAATCTGCTTTCACTATGCTCTTCCATTCTCAGATTGCACAAACTTGGATGCCATCCATCATCCAAGTTTTGTCTTTGTCATCTCGTAACTTCACTGTTCGCAGTTCATCTTGTCACTGTCGCTGGGACTATTTCATAGTCTGGGAACTGTTGAGGTAGACTTAATCGGTCGACTCAGATTAATGCCGAGCGTGTCTATTTTTTCCATGCACACTCTGAACGATCGCCATACTAGGCTTCCCAGACATTTTCTACATTCCTCATTCCGCTCTGAAGAGTTCAAATATGCTCAAGACTGACACTTCTCGTCAGCACCGCTTGCTCCTTTAAGTGTCTGACGTAAGGCAGAATCAGAGATCTACAGTGGTTGGGTACGCGCGATTTTGGCGTGTGTACAGATGCATCGTTTTCAACCTGGGAAACGAGCCCTTTTCCTATCAAACTGACTCCTAGGCCATATCGTATAAACAGCTCCATTCCAATCGATCGTCTTCCGCCAATTATGAGGCCAGCTTCAGGTGCTCGTTTTTTCTCGGTTGAATTCGCTGCGCGAACTGTTTGCCGCTTCTCTTTCCTATTGATTGCGGACTTGGATGAGTCATGCATACGATCCGGCGTCAGGACAGCTTATGTCCCACTCGTCTGTTCGGCCTGGCTGTGCACATCACGGCTCAATCTCGAGCCCTTGACTGGCTGATCAAATGACGACTTTTAAGTGCATCCGCTCCAATTTGCTCACAACCAGTTTGTGCTCAACGTGACTTCGCCTCGGCAGCCATGCTTGAAACTGGGCGACGCAAACTGGCATTCCTCCTCGGTTGCCCTGCTTCCTACTGCACACACGCGTCAACAATGTGGAATTACACATTGGTTTTGTGTTTAAGGTGGTTTGACCTTGTTTTCGCAACTTGGTCGTGCTGTCAGGGCAGCCTGGATTAAGGTACATTGTCCGAAGTCTTCTGTCGTGGCATAATTGTTGGCGTCGGAGCCTAGAACTGGTATATTCCCAAATCTTCCGCCGGTATCGTCAGGGCGCTTTGTCAGTCTGCGCCAAATTACGACTCGTCAAGCAGACAGATCTTGACTTCCGCTCTTTCTCTCTGTCTCTCTGTCTCTCTTGGTTTAGCACATTTGTTGGGCCTTTTTGTAGGGCAGGGGCCCTCAGTATTTGGTTGTCTGTTGCATGACAGACAAAAGCTCAGTACGGATTCGTCAGAGTTGAAGGGCAGTGGACCGAGGGCACTTCTTCGCACAATCCAGCAGTTTTCGCGCCCCAACAATCAATTCTCCTTCGGTTTCCGATGCGACCAATTCACGAATTTCTTCCAACTGACTTTTCCTTCGAAATGCAAAGTAAGTCGAGTTTCACTAAATTGTTGAGGTATTTTTTTCATAGTATGTTGTAGCTTTTTTTCGCTAGTGAGACTTTTCGCCTCAATCCACTCCTGTCACCGCGGGACAGACGAGGCTTTCGGGGCACAAATTAACAGACACAACCCCAAACCCATTTTCTTTGGGTTTTCGATGAGGTCGATTTATGAATCCCTTCCACACACATTTTCAG